ATGGAGAATTCAAACAAGTCACAAGAATAGCATGCGAGCCGGTTCTCATATTTTAACACCGTAACCTACATATTAAAAATAATTGTCGAGGATTCACAAATTCAAGTTGGTCCATCAAACCAACAAGTTAGGCTCTGAAATTTTAACACCAAATTCACCTTACTGGACTTAGACAAAACACCAAATTTCAGCCCCAAACTCGAAATACATAATTTTATAAAATTTGGACAAATTTATAGCAAAAACAAGCATAAATCCATAACCTGAACTAATGAACAAATTATGACTTCAAATTTATACAAAAGCAGACACAACATGAGAATAATAATATATAAAAATTTCAGCTATTAACATAAAACATAAGAAGTTTAAAAATTAAAACAAAATTCTGCAGAATTTAAATGTTTAACAAAATCGAACCAAAATGAATCAAAATAAATCCTGTCTTTTTACATACTGAAGCACATCACAAAATAAGCCAAGATACCAAAATTCACCAATTTATCTCATCAGATTGATTTATCAAAATTAATTTACAGTTCTGCAGAATACATAAAACAATTTTTACCCCGAGCAAACGAAGTCCAAAAATTTTGAAACGTTTACAAAACATCTAAATCAGATAGGGCGACAACATACTTAAATTTCGTCAATTTGGGAGCATAACGCAATTTACTATGCAATTAACACGATTCTGCCCAGAAATAACATTAATTAATTAAAATAGCAACAGTTAGAATTTAAATCTGAAATTTTTACACGGCATATATATTCAAAAGAGGACATAGCATATAAAATTTCACACTAATCGGAGCTGCATACGATTTATTGTGAATTTAACACATAAACAGTGAATAATCACGTTTGAAAAATAATAAATGACTCGATAAATCATTTAACTCGTCCGAGGCCTTAACCATAAGACCAAGGACTTCATATTGTTCCAAATCCACAACCGTCACACAAATCGACGAAGTTCACATATAAACACGTCAATAATAAATAACATCAACAATACAAATATACACACACTTAAAATTATAGGAATATATAATTCATAGACATGTTCAAAACATCAAATAAACACGCAAATATGATCAACACATATCAAAAGAAAAGACGTAAGGTTCAAGCCGTCAATACCTTTCTCCGGAAGGATGTTCGATAACGGACGAGGACGGGATGAATGGATGCAAACCGTGCGGTACTCGGGCTCGACGCCGAACGCTCGTCTCGCGTGGCTATGGAGGTTCTATTCTCCGGCATGGTGACGACTCACGATTTAACAAGAGAGGGCCGCTACTGTGAAGGTTGTGCGGTTGGGGAGGGTCGCCTGTTGCTGTTCTGCGGTGGCTGTTGCCGCCCGACGAAGGCTGACGAGCCCTCCGACGTGGTGAACAAGGGCAGTCGGAAATTGCTGCTCGATAAACTCTCGAAGGTGTTGCGCGTCGTTGGGGTGGTAGGGACTCGCCGGGAGGTGGCTCACAGACGGTGGCTGTGTGATGCGGAGGAACAGCAGGCGGTGGTCGGAGGGAAGGAGGGTTTGCCGGTGGCTGTGTGATGCGGAGGAACAGCAGGCGGTGGTCGGAGGCACTGCGCGTGAAGGTTGATGGCTGCAACGTGCAGCGGCGGTGCTGCTCGCGGAGGATGGCAGCAGTGATGGCGAGAGGAGGAAGATGGTGATCGGGCTTCCTTGCGCGAGAGAGGAAAAGATCGATGGCGATGGGAGATTGCAAGAGAGAAGCGAGATGATGACGGGATTTTGTGAAAGGGACGAGAGAGAGCAGATCGCAAGGAGGCTGCGCGATCGGTTTTGCAAGAGAGAAATTGTCTGGTAGTTATGAGTGAAGGAGAGAGGCGAGCAAGATTTTTTTAACAGCTAGGGTTCTCATTTTTTTCACCACAAGACACCCACACATACACACATGGGGCGGACCGGGGCAAGGGAAAAATCGGGTCGTGCTGGGGTCTAGCTGGGTCGGGGCGCGCGGGTTAGTGGCTCTCGGGCCGGTTCGTGCGGCACGGGTTCGTAAAAAATAACCCGGCTCTCGGGCTCGATATAATATTTCAACGGCTCGATATGCTCGCATGATAAAATAAATAAAAAAAATCCGGATAATATCAATTTTATTACACACATTATTTTAAAATAAATATAATAATAATATTAATAATAAAATAATTATTTAGGCAATTAATTACAATTAGACACATAATAATATTTAGACATACCATAATAATAATAATAACACTAATAATAATAATAATAATAATAATAATAATAATAATAATAATAATAATAATCATCATGAATTAATCCTCAAATAAACCACAAATAAATGGGGCATTACAGTCTACCCTCCTTAAACGATTTTCGTCCCCGGAAATAAAATAAAGTCATCCTAACAGAACAACTGACACAAGAGAAGCTCAAACCACTAAACTCGGATACTCCGTCCTAATCTTCCCACTCTACCAAGTCACAACGCACTAGCCACGGCGGACTTTGACGAGTACCTCTCCCGGACTCTCCTTGATGGATTCGTCAATCCAGTAGGTCACCGGTACCTCATCAAAGGTAAGGTTCTGCATACATGCAGCTCGTCAAAGTTCGCCACGTGCCCAGAGTCACGCACATGTCCCCTCTCCACGAGGCACTGAACAGGTTGTGCACTCTAGCAAGCTCTGGTAGCTAATCGTGCCGGCATTCCTAAACGAGCTCAAATTCTACGCTGCTAAGATTTTCACGTTTCTGGATCTCATCACAAAGCCTCCTCGGTTGATTCGTCTCGATCGCGTCTCGAACATAGTTCATCAACGATAAAAACCACGACAAACTAATCCGGGTATGAATGGAATACCCAAACCGAATGACATCACCACAATCGAAAGTACGATATAAGACAAGCAGAAAAATAAGTTTTTACTCACAAGAATAAAAACAAGAGATTTACAAACTCTAAACAAAAAACTTTCAAACCCTCCCACAACTCTTCTTGGTTGTGTTTCAACACTCTCAAGGCTGATTAAACACACTCTTTAATGATTTCAATGAATGAAATAAGAAGCCTATTTATAGGCAAGATTGAGCACACTCTTGTTGACAATAGTGTGTGTGAAAGGGTAAGTTAGTGGAGGCTACCATTTTACACTTCTACAATGGTGTGCCATTGAAGAATTCTTCCTTGGTGTGCTACAGCTTGCATGCATGGAAATTTCAACAATCTTTTCCGCAAAAAAACTGCTACATCATTTCTTTCCTCGAAGCAAAAAACAGATTGTTCCATAATCATGATTGTGTCAATAGCATATATTTATATATAATGTTTTTTTTCCCGTATATTTATTTTTTTATACGGTTTTGTCTTCGGGCTTTCTATGGTTATGAACTCTGAAGTTATTTCTCATACCTTAGCTAGTTAGTCTTTCATGGAAAATTATTAATTTATTTATTTATTAATTTTTTTTTCTTAAAATATCAATAAGATAACTATTTCACTCTTTTGGTTCGAGTATTGAATATTTTTCATGTTTTTTTTCTTATCGAATGCGTTATTATAATATATTATTTTCTTGTCTTCATTCTAGCTCAATAGATAGTTTTTAATATTATAACACATTTTAAATTAATATTATAACTTTTTACTTAATAATTTGACTTTATTCATAGTAGTTATTATGCACATAAATTTTTTATAAGCATTTCATATAAATTTAATTATTATTATTATATTAGAGATTATATAAAAGTCTTAAAAAAAGTCTAAAAAAATTCACTCTTAAAAAATTTCTATAACAATCTCACAAAATCTACAAATAGAATTAAAAATTACATAAAGTTTTAAAAAGTCTTAAAAGTCTTCAAGAGTCCTAATGGAATACACCACTAAAAATCGGATCTCTTTCTTCCCAATTGAGAGTAAGTCCACACAAAAGCGATCCATTTTAAAAAATCTTAAAAGTCTCCGAGAGTCCTAATGAAATACACCCTAAAAATCGGATCTTTTTCTTCCCAATTGGGAGTGTGATGTTTTCCGAAATATAATTGCACACAGAAAACTCCGAAGACACTCACTGTAATATAGAGAGGAGAGAAAAATGGTATTGTGTCATGGTAAGTGTTCTTTTTGCTCGCATTTGATTGAAAATCTTATGTTGCTGTTCTTTTTTCTTTTCTATTTTTTGGTTTGCTTCATTTGGTGTATTACCAGTTTTTGGTTTTTGGTAACAATGTATAATATTCTTGGATGAATTTGAATGGGTTTAAGGACCCAAAGTTTGACATTGTTCGAAAAAGTCCATGTGTGGTCCCATCTAGGTGGTCGAGGCCCCTTTAATTACCTATGTATTTCTTTTGATTAGAGACAGCATAACAGTTTTTTAAGAACGCTTGTTTTGGTTTTTGTGTAAATTATAATGGCAACCAGATATTTGAGGGGGGTTGAAAAAGGTGGGATTTTTGGGTGGTTTGATATATCTGAGTTCTTTCGTACATTGCATATCATGTTGTTATAGTTGTTTCATTTTCATCGTCATGTTCTAATCAAAATATGTTGTGGGAATAGAGTTGTCAAGTGAAACACGAACCGCTTGTGAGCTCATCTCGGCTCATTAATGCTTGTCAACGATCGCGAATATGGTTTTAATTTTGCAATCTTAGCTCGAGCTTGAACTCATTATCGATTCGTTTGGTTAATGAACCGAGCTCGGTTATTAGAAGTTCAACTTGGGCTCGAGTCGTTTACACCTCTACTGGGAAAAATAAAAAGGAGTGAACCAAAATTAACAATCCTCTGGTTTTTCTTGCTGTCTGATTTAATGTCTCAAAATTCTTAGTTGTCAAGTACTCCTTGAGTAATTTTCATATGATAGGGCTCTTGAACTCTCGTGTTTACTAACATACTATATTGGAAGCAGACGGTAGGAATTCGAGTCGGCTAGCAAATTTGTGAAGTATATTCAGAGGAATCGAGTGCGATTTTCCAATTCTCGTTCCGGAAATGAACAATAATGAGAAATTCAAGCAGCGGTGGGAGTTGAGGCGGAAAGAGGTAGATACCGACACCTCGAGTGATGACAGCCAACCGAATGCTAGTGGGCCCCATGCTGGGAAGCGGCCCAATTTAGTTGCTGGCCTCGTTCTGCTCAAAAATGATGAAGCAAGTGACAAACCGACTTTAGCCGCTGACGAAAGGAAAACCAAATCAAGCAAGAAGGCGAAAGGCAAGAAGTACAACGCTGCAGTTCAAAAGAAATCAAACAGCGGGCCAATCAAGAAAAATAAGCGGAACAAAAATCTCATGGTCGAGCATGCGGCCATGTTTGAAGATCTCAAGGCCTTTGCAGATTCTTTAATGCAAGAACTCACGGCCGCCCGGGAGAATATGGTTACGCACTTCAAGGATGAGATGAGAAAGCTGACAGCCATTGTGTCGAAAAAGCCGGTTAGGAACAAGAATGCGAGATGTTCCCAGAAAAATATAGCGAAACCCAAAAATTGTACGGTTGTTCGAAACACAAAAGGCAAAGTGGAGTCTGATGCACGTAAATCCACAAAACCTGCATCCGAGTCCGTGGAGAAAAACGAGGAAGTTTTACAACGGACCAAAAATGATGGACTAAACAAAGGTGACAATGGATTGACTGTGCCAGCTGTCATCCCAAAACCACAGTTTCAAAATCCGAGAACCCATTTGCCTTTGGGTGATCACAAATTTTATCGGCAATATGCGGTAGAACAACACCTCGGGAGCTTTTCCAGCATTTCAAATTCAAACAGAAGTTTGGGTTTGATTGGACAAAACTACCCCCGAGCGCCAGGCATTCCTTTCCCGGTCCCCCTTGGTCATCTTGGATCGGACAATGGGTCTAATTTTTCGAGCTTGACTTACTGTGGTATCCCATTGGCGGATAAGGTTAACGATGTGGGCCTGAGGTTGAATGGCATTAACGTGAATTTTCCTAAGGGGAATCATATGTAATCGGGTCAATATTTTCCTTACGGCGGTGTGGTGAGTAAAGGTGGTGGGGAACATATGTCTGTGAGGCCACAGGAAATCATAGATGGCCAATTTTGCTTGGCTAGTTTGAGAAATCAACAGTGAGTAGGAAAACAAGAGTTACTGTTTACAGTTTATAGGCTTTATTACTTCTTGTGCTGGTGAGCGTGTGAGCAAGATGAGATTTTCTTTATTATTTTTAAGAGTTTGTAGACGCTTTCCATCCTCAGTAAACTGTGAGATGTTCTGATATTGAATGAATAGTTGAATGGATATTTGTGTGATGAGGACATGAACATGATTATATGATTGGTATTCGACCATGTACATTTGCACAGTGTAAGTGTAAATAGAATAGGGTAATTGTTATTTTATAATCTGTACTATGGGGTAATTGTGTTTTTGGTACCTATTCTTTATTTATTGCGAAACTACAACCCAACCTTTACGTTTTTGTAAATGTAGTACCCAGTATTAACGCCAGTTGTATTTTCCGCCTATATTCTAGTCACGTGCGCTTCTTTAGGGCATATAAGTAATTTCATGACTCGTTTTTTTCCTTTTTTTATACCAACCCATCCATTTATATCCTCTACTCAACCCATAACACCATTTCTCCCAATTTGAAGCCTTAAGAACCCTAATTTCATAATGTGGAGACAAACATCTGAATATATTGTGGAGGATTTATGCCGTTGTGGAAAAAATGCAGTAAGGAAGACGTCTTGGTCTGAAGAAAATTGTGGTCGGAGGTACGGTGCCAGTCCGCGATTTAGGGTAAGCTCCAAATTCTTGAATTTCTACTCATCCATGAATTGATGTAGAAGACTGGTGGTGGTGTTTGTCGTTGTTATTATTGTTTTGTGCTCATTATTTCTTCTCGTTTTTCTGCTTATTATTGTTGTTTTTGCTCATTATTGTTGTTTTGTGCTCATTATTTTTGGATTTCTTCACACTTATGCTCATTATTATTATTATTATTATTATTATTATTATTTGGTATCTTACATTTTAATCTTGGCATTTCATTGAAGAAATCTGGAGGTTGCACATATTACCTGTGGATTGATCCGTCAATGTGCACAGGAGCAAGACAAATTATTCCTGGTTTATTGAAGAAAAATGAGAAGCTTGAAGATGAACTCAAGAGTAAGAGGTTTAGGGAGAGGTGTATGTGGTTGGTTTTGGTGTTATCTTGGATGAATGTATACCTTCTTTACAAATGATGGTATGAATTGTGCTTGTATTGTATGGACTATTTAGGCTTATTATGACTCTAAGTTGTAAGTTTTTGGTCAAATTCAAATTTTCTAACTTTGTGATGAATTTGACAATCTATTATGTATTAGTGTGATGAATAATAGTATGAATTCCAAATTGAATTATGGTGAGATTGACATATCCCTTTTGCCAATTTTGCTCTTTTTCCTTGTTTGCCTAAATTCATTTTTGTTCGGGTTTGTGCTTTGCGTTGCAAATTGTGGAGTCACGTTATATAATCATGTTCTTATTGATTAACACTAAATGTTGGCACTTGGTAAAATCTGTGGATCTCTTGGAGTCAGATTGATTGATGGTTTCGAGAGATGAATGATTAATAGTTTATTTTGTGTTAGAACATCTCATCTGTCATCTCAAAGGAAACAAGAAAGTTCAGTAATGAGTAAACTTTAGTTACAAAATTTTATTTTAATGTCTGTTTGAAATATTAAAGAGGAATTGTTATTAGGCCATGTGCTTCTATATTTGATCTCCATAAGGACACAAACTCAGTCCCAAACTATTTCATGTATTGAAATTGGACTAGTCGAGATTTCAGATATGCATAAAAATAGGCATTGATTCAACATAATACGAGTTACATATCCTGCCATATCAAAAATACTACATGCTTGCCAAAACTCCATCACTACTAGTTTTAAGAGTGGCATATCCTGCCATATCAAAAATACTACATACTTGCCAAAACTCCATCACTACTAGTTTTAAGAGTCGCATACCAAAATTCACAGAACTTCAGAGCACACTGTCCAAAACCTACCAAAACACTACAAGTTTAATGAAAGAACAAAGAACCACAAAGCAAGATATAAAGCACCATGTAACAATCAATATGATCCTAATAGTGGTGCATCCTCCTCTGTGGAAACTGTCCTAAGATGTGATCCTTGTCCTGGCGTTGTTGAGAATTTGACAGCTTCTCCAAAAAGCTTCACATTTGAATTGACCATCTTCTGAATAATCTTCTTTGGCCTATGCACATCTTGTTCAAATAAGTCAGTTGTTGAGGACTGTTGACTTAAAACCTCCAGACACCTGTTGACCTGCATAAAAGAAAAATGTGGATGATTATTTTCACTTTTGAGTTGTTTTTTTAGAAACAACTAACAAACAATATTCAATATATAAGTATTTAAAAAAACATGCAATTTATTGTTGGTTCAAAGGTTCAAGTTTTTTTCCCCCCTGCTCTTCTTTCGAGTGGCTACATGCAAAAATATGAAAGAATAAAATAAAAATATGCTGAAAAAATAAAAAAAAGGTGAAGAAAATGAACAATTATGATAAAATTTACCACCATTTTCTGTTGATTTGGAGCAGGAACATCCAGTTTTGGAGATGAATGGGTGGAGTCTTTCTTCATTGGGCATCCCCTTGAATTACGATTAGGCTTCTTGCATGTTTTACAAGTCATAATAATCCCTTTCCTTGAAATTTTAGAATCAACAGATTTTCCTTTCCCTTTACCTTCACCAATTTCAGCCTGTTCAGATGGGGTCCTAGAATAATTTTTAGGTCTCCCAGGCATATTGGAAACAACTGGGGGTATAAGAGGATCAACATCCACCATGGGCCACATATCAACATCATTTAAGGTACCCATCACATGACTGTAGGTTTGCAAATAATTTTCCTTCTTGTACCATACGCTTCAGGTTCATAGTTCATGTAATAGAAGGTAGAGATTGCACGTGGACATGGTATTCCAGTGAGGTCCCATTTTCTACAAGTACAACTTTTTTCTTCCAAATGAACTCTAAATCTCTTTCCATTTGAACCCTCAACTTCAAATCATCACATCCATTCCAATGTGCAATAATCCATGGCCTTTTTTTTATGCACCTCCAAAAGTTCCTCAATTTTTGGGCAAATGTCCCCAACATGCTGCAACATCTCATCTCTTCTCACATGAATTCTTCTTATTAACACCATTCTGCAGCATTGTAAGAATAGGCCTACTCCTTGCTCTGAGGATTAAAGAATTAAAACACTCACAAAAGTTGTTCAATAATAGATCACTTTTGGAAGTGCAAGAGAAATGTGACTTGGACCATTGTTGTGGAGGCTTTTTAACTAACCACTCAAAGGCCTTCAGATCCTTTTTCTTTAATTCAGCCATCGCAACATTGAAATCAGAAACCTTAGTAGCTCTAGCTGCTTGCCATAGAAGGTTCTTCAGTGCCAAACCTTTATGTTGTAGCTTAAAGTTTGCATATAAATGTTGTACACAAAACCTATGCTCACAACCTGGCAATAGTTGATCCACAGCATCAATAATCCCTTTTATTTGTCTGACATTATGGTGAAGTAGAATGGGTTTTGAATGTTGAGATTCTCAATTAGTAACTGCACAAACCAGTGCCATGTTTTCTTGGTCTCTTTTTCCACAACAACATATGCAAAAGGATAAATGCAATTATTTGCATCAATCCCTACTGGTGAAAGCAAAATCCCACCTGTCTTTAACTTTAAATGACATCCATCCATACAAATTAGTGGTCTACAACATTGTATGAAACCTTGCTTTAAAGCATCCCAACAAATGTAGAACCTCTGAAAATATACCCCATCTGTCTTCACTTTCGATTTTATCTTCATTGTTGTTCCAGGATTAGATCTCCTAATCACTTCAGCATATGACCATAACATGCCATACTGCTCAATGTCAGTCACATCACCAGACTCTAACAATTTTCTTGGTTCTGTACATCTGCCATTTGTTGAAGCATAATTTTATATCTCCTTGCATTCACAACAACATGGACTAGATCGGCCATCTTGGATCATTTCCTCAACTTCTCATTATACATCTGAGCAAGAAACTTGGGAGTGGCATGTGAAACCTTCTGTTGGCGAGGGCATTTATGTGTAGCCACATAAGTCTTCACCTGAATGGTGTTCTCATTTTGCAGCTTGGATACATAAATAACCCAAGGACATTTGCCATGCTTGCACTTAGCTTGGACCTTATATTTATGATTAATTGTAAACTGAACATCTCTACCAAGCTTGATAGAGTTATTCTAACAGCATCCTTAAAAGAATTAGTATCTGGGAAATCCATTCCTAACTCCAGCTTGCAGTCCATCCCATCTAGAATTGGTTTTTCTTTTCTAGACTCTCTTTTCTTATCTCAGCCCATTTGCTCAGTGGTAAAAGTTTCCCCAATTTTTTTCTTTTTCCTCATGTCTAGTCCCCCCCATTCCACATCATCGTCAATATTTTTTTCAAATAGTAAATCATCTTCATCAGTGACATAATTGTCACTATCTACAAACTCATCCTCATACTCAGAATCACTACTCACATATTGCTCAGCTTCAACATCACTGTCTTTTCCCTCACCTACTTTATCTCCTTCATATTCAATTAGAACATCAAAATCCCCCACAAAATCCAACCTTTCAGTAATTTGAGAAAAAGTTTCATCATTATGTTCAAGAAAAACTCCAACTGTCCTATTTTCATCAATGAAATTAACTAAATTCATTGCATCAAGATCACTTTGCACAATGACAGTATTCCTGCAATAATTAATCTCATCCAGGCTGCAATAAAATGCTTTCACTCCATGTAAACCAAACTCATCACACATGCTTACTAACTCAAGCATCGACAACTCATCCGGATCACAAAAATCAACATGACCGACACCAATATTAAATCAACATGACCGACACCAATATTAGCACCCATATATTGTTTGATTCCACCAATATCAACAAACTTACCAGAATGATGAAATTTGATAGTGAAAGATTGTGAATTGGAACCTGAAAAAAAAAAATAACACATGTATTCAAAAGTAAGAAATATGTTACAAATCATTTACAAAATCTTTTAATCAACATAAGGCCATGAATCTTGTTAACTAACAACCACTGTTCATGTGTGATTTTACACCATATTTATTGAGTATCTAGAGTTTAGTCATTGCGTTATTGGTGTATAAATCGCATATTTGTGTTTTAATTCTCTATTTGTTGGAAAGGTATTACACGTGCTTGTTTTGTAGATATTTTCACATATTTGTAGAGCTTGTGGCTATTGGAGGCGCATGGTGAGTACCTAGGACCCCCGAGATGATGATGGATTGATGCACGGATGAGAAATATGGAAGAAACAAGTGAAACGGACAAAAACGAGAGTGCTGGGATGTGACACGGACGGTGACACGGGCACCATGCCCGTGTCAGGTGGCCGTGTCACGTGAACAGGGGCATTCCGAGGCTTGATACCTGACACGACCCGTGACACGGGCTGTGACACGGGCGTGTCAGGTCGTGTCGCGACGCGGGCAGTTTTTAATCCCTTGCCTTTTTCAATTAGGAAAGGACTTTTGGACCTATAAAAAGACATATTTACCTGATTTTGAACCCTAGAACGTGATTACGCAAGGAAGGGAGCTAGAGAACACACAAGAGAAGCAATTGAGAAGAAGAGAAGATCAACCACAAGCTTACTAGTTTTTCTTTCTCTCTTTTGAACTTATTTCCTCATGTTGATTTTGACTATGTCTATGTATTTGATTTCAAACATGAGTAGCTAAATTTCATTGATTCTAAGACATGGTAGTAGATTAATATGTTGGGATTTTGGATGAGTTATCATAGTTGATTATTTTCTTTTGAACCCTATTCAAATATTTTGTTCTTATTTCATGTTTAGAACTTGATCAATTCTTTTACATGTTTGACAATATTGTTCATAATTCGAGAGATGAGTTCAATATTAGGTCCTTAATATTTGACACAATTTACTTGCTTGAATCGAGAGATTAGTAGGTTGTTGTGAGGATATTAGATCTTTTAATCTATTTGGAGTTGAATTGCATGTGTTGAGTGGAGACGCTAATATATGTGATTTAATCTACGGTTTTATCGATCTTGAGAGGGACGATAAGCTAAATTTGTGATCATCTTATAGGGAAGATAAAGAAAACATTGGTTGTGATATTTCTGAAGGAACCCAACTATTAATTGAAACCAAAGTCTTAGAGTCTATCATTCTCATATATCTTCTTACGTGTTTTCTAGCTAGTTCTTTATTTTTGCTTTATTTCTCTTTAATTATATTTTCTTAGTTAGTTAATCCATCTCATATTCGGTCGTCTAAATAAAGTTGACACTATCATAATCTGGTACTTGATATAATAATTAATTGGTCTCTTGGGATACGACCTTGCTTGCCACATGCTACGAGCGAAGCCGTACACTTGCGGTCGAGCTTTAAAAATATAGGCGAACAAGTTTTTGGCGCCGTTGCCGGGGACTAATATAATTATTTGTATCAATATTACGATAGATAGTGAAAATTTTAATTTAGATATTTTTTTTTATTTTTGGTGACATAATCTCTTATATTCGTGATTTCAGGAAGTGCATGTTAACTTGCTCTAAAGGTGTACAACTACCACCCTTGATTGACGAAGTTGAAGCATTTGCTAGACGCAATAGTGCAACAACTAGAAAAAGAAGGGGCAATTCAAAGTGCACAATGGACGAGCAAGAACAACCGAGGCAAGCGATTCGTGACCACTTTCGGCCTCAATTTAATAAGAATTTTGGCGGGATTGCGCATATACCCGTCAGCGCGAATAATTTCGAACTGAAGCCCTGCTATATCTCGATGGTGCAAAACAACCAATTTGGTGGACACCCGACCGAGGATCCGATTCAACACTTGACCCAGTTTTTGCAAATCTGTGATTTGGTCAAGTACAATGGTGTCTCTGAGGATGCCATACGGCTGCATCTATTCCCTTTTTCTCTAAGGGATAAAGCTCGGAGTTGGTTGTCAATGATATTTGATGGGAGCATTACTACTTGGGAGGAGTTGAACCAGAAGTTCTTACTTAAATATTTCCCTCCAAGCAAGTCGATGCAACTCAAAAGCGAGATTACACAGTTCAGGCAGCAAGACTCGGAGCCTTTATACGAGGCGTGGGATCGATTTAGAGAATTATTGAGAAAATGCCCTCAACATGGTTTTCCGGAGGATCAACAACTTTGTTTCTTCTATAACGGGTTGTTGGGCCAAACGAGAGCCTTTGTAGATGCGGCAGCTGGAGGAGCTCTATTAGCTAAAACACCGGAGGAAGCGTCCAATTTGTTGGAAGAGATGGCCATGAATAGTTATCAGTGGCCTTCCGAGAGGTCGAGCATTAGACGTGTGGCGGAGGTGACATCTTCTGATCCAATTAAGGAGTTAGCGGTTCAGATGTCGTCGTTGACGACAAAATTGAATGCTTTGACGAAAGGAGCTGATGAGGTGAGTGGAGTACAAGGTAATGTGTTACCACCGGATCCCTTAGAAGAGGCCAATTTTATCAATAATCGGAACTTCAGCAACTATCGCCCTAATCCGGTGCCGGGTTTTTATCACCCGAATAATAGGAATCATGAAAATTTTTCCTATGGAAATACAAAGAATGTGCTCCAACCACCGCCGGGGTTTAAGGTGGTGAATGGCGAGATTGTCGAAGAGAAGAAGATGGACATGGAAAATGTTCTGGTAGCTTTCATGAATGAGACGAGAAATCGTTTCAACAGAGATGAAGAGAAGTTGGACAAGATTGAGAATCATGTGACACAATTGGCTACGACAATGGAGGCTCAAATGAAAAACTTGGAGATGCAAATTGGTCAACTGGCCAAGGCCGTGGGAAGCCAGCACCAAAGGGGTCAATTTCCTAGCAATACCGAGTTGAACCCAAAAGAGCAATGTCATGCCATCTATCTACGAAGTGAAGAGGAGAAAGTTTGTGATGAGTTAATGAAGGAACCAAGTGTGATAGCAACATCTAGGCCTGGGATTACATTTAATTCCAACTTTGGCTCTCCTAAACTTTCTATCCCTTTACCTTTTCCTCAACGATTTGCAAAGAGGAGGGAGATTGAGGAACATGAGACGGTGACCTTAACGGAAGAGAGTAGTGCTATCCTCCAACGCACGATTCCTCCGAAGCTTAAGGACCCCGGGAGCTTTACGATTCCTTGCACTATTGGGAATATGTTCTTTAGCAAAGCTTTATGTGATCTTGGTGCTAGTATTAATCTCATGCCTTTGTCAATTTTCAGGAAGCTCGGATTGGGAGAAGTGAAGCCATCTACAATGACTTTGAAATTGGCGGATCGTTCGATAACGTGTCCGAAGGGGATTGTTGAGGATGTGCATGTCAAGATTGATAACTTCACTTTTCCTGTTGATTTTGTTGTATTGGACATGGAGGAAGATAGGGACGTGCCATTGATTCTAGGGCGTCCATTTTTAGCAACGGGAGATGCGTTGATTGACGTAAAAAGGGGAGAAATTACTTTGCGTGTTAATGATGAGCATGTGTTGTTTTCAATACATAAGCCTATACTTCATGATAATAATATGCATACTAACTTTATTGATTCAGGTGATGTGATCAAGTTGGAAGATATGATGAAGTCAGAGAGCAAAACGGAGAAAATCGGAGTTGAAAATAAGTCGCGCAGAGCTGACACGGGCACTATGCCCGTGTCAGGTGGCCGTGTCAGAGACCTGGGAGAAGATCAGATTTTTGGGATGCGACACGGACGGCGACACGGCCCGTGTCAGGTGCCCGTGTCAGGTGCCCAGGTACTGCTTTTGGAGCACGGACGACGACACGACCCGGACCATCAAGCACGGCCCGTGTCGGGGGTCGTGTCAGGTGTACTGTCTACCCCTTTTTCAGCCGAATCAAGTTCTTCAAAGCCCGATGCACCGATTATGGACCTCAAACCATTGCCAGATCATCTGACATATGCATACTTGGGTGATAATTGCACATATCCGGTAATTGTATCATCTTCTCTAACTTCTGATCAATTAGATAGATTGTTGAAGGTGTTGCATACATATAAGTCGACTATAGGTTGGTCTACGTCTGATCTTAAAGGTATTAGTCCATCACTTTGCATGCATAAAATAAGATTAGAGGAAGATTATAGACCATCTGTGCAAAATCAACGACTCTTTAACACCGTTATGAAAGAAGTTGTGAGGTTAGAGGTACTTAAATGGTTGGATGTCGGGATTATATTTTCTATTTCTAATAATGAGTGGATGAGTCTAGTGCAAGTGGTGCCGAAAAATGGAGGAATGACAGTACTGACAGAGGAAAAAGAAGAATTGATTGCACGAGATGAAGCGACCTTTTCAATCCATGGACAGTCCTACATTGATTTGAAGAACTCTTGATCGAACTTCATAGGCGTCTGGCTGAAGACGTTAAACTTAGCGCTTGTTGGGAGGCAACCCAATGTTTACTGCTTTATTTTTTTATTTTTTTTATTTTTTGTTTATTTGATAGTTTGTTTTTCTTCCTTGCAGAACATTACATGGAGAGATTTACACGACGAAGGACATGCTTCGAGATCTATACTAATAGTTGTCATCTCTTCAATGATGTTTTGTAAGTGTCTCTATTTTACTTTTATTGAAATTCTATTCTTCACTTTTGTGCTTCATATAATTTCATTCAAGTTTGGGGGGGAGATGTGGTATTTTGATTTGAGAATTTTAGAGAGAAGATAACAAGATATCTTGCATTATCTTGCATATCATTTAGTTGCATGTTAGGTTTTATTGCTTTAGCACGTT